AGCGCTGAACCCAAACTTCTCCATTACTTTCCAGAGGAAGCTGTGCTCAAAGCGGCGAAAGCCTTTTCCTGATCTAGAGAAATCAGACCAGTATTAATGCCCAATGAGCTGGAGACCTCCAAAACATCTCGAATTAGGTGGACATTGTCCACCATGGACCTGCCGGGCACACAGTAGGTCTGGTCCCGGTGGATGACCTGCTCCACAGCCCTCCACAGCCCTCCCCAGCCTGGTGGCCAAAGCCTTGGACAGAAGTTTGTAATCCACACACAGCAGAGACACAGGGCGCCAGTTTTTGATGTCCTGCAGGTTTCCTTTTTTTAGTAGCAGCGTGATCACCGCTCTCCTGCAGGACATCGGCATCGAGCCAGAGGCCAGACTTTCATTAAAAATGTCTAAAAGGTCATGTGACAAGACGTCCCAGTAGGCTTTGTAAAACTCTACAGAGAGGCCATCGATACCAGGAGCCCGCCGTCCCGGCATGCCTTGCAGGGCGGTCTGCAGCTCCTGGATCGTTATCGTTGGCCTCCTCAGAGACCTGAGGTAGTTCGTTGCAGAACCCCTCGGACAGAGATTCCCCCTCCTCATACTCGCTTGTATAGAGGGTGGAATAAAAGCTCACAGCTCGCCTCCTGATCTGGCTTGGCTGTGTTATTTCCTGCCCTGTGTCTGACAGCAGTGAGTGGATCACTCGCCTCTGCCCATTATTTTTCACCAGGCCGAAGAAGAAGCTAGTGGGAGCATCCATCTCATTGGTGTTGAGAAACCGGGACCTGACCAGTGCACCCTGAACTTTAACGTCCAGCAGGTTGGCTAAAGCCATTTTTTTCTCTTTGAGGATTTCAATATATCCTCGATCTCCTGTGGTCTCACTGATTGTTTCTAGTTCCACGATATCACTCTCCAGGTCTTTCATAGATCTAATGATGTCTTGTGTGACATTGAGGGTGTGCTGTTGGCAGAGCAATCTGATCTCAGTCTTACCATGGTCCCACCACTGCCTGAGACTGCTAAAATCTCCCTTCCTCTGCTTAAAAACACTCCAGAAATAAATAAGGGCCTCTTTCAAATGTTTATCAAATGTTAAAACCGAGTTAAAATGCCAATATGCACTTCTAGGTAAAACATTACATAAAAGCAAAGAGTGATCCGTAAAACCAGCAGGTGATATGCTGCACATTTTAAAAATATTAAAATGATGCTTAAAACAATAAAAACGATCCAGTCTAGCTGAGATGAGATTAGAATGAGATTCTATTCTCTCTGATGTGGGACCAGGTGTACTGCCTGTTGTCTGCGTGCATCCTCCTCCATACATCCACCAGGCCGTGGGAGTGGACCAGCTGCCTCAGAGCATGCTGGATGCGGCTCTGCATGGTTGCGATCTAAAGATGCATTTTCTGTACAATTAAAATCCCCACCCAAGAATAAAAAATCCTCCGTGGCACAACCGTTTGCAACAGCTAGTAAAAACAGCTTCCTCTCTGCACCGTTTGTTGGAGCATACACATTTATAAAAACAACTGTAAAAAGGTCAAACCGTGCTTTTATTAAAAGCAACCTCCCATTCATAAAATGCTCGACCTCCAGAGAGACAGGACTAAAAGACTTGGAGAGGAGGAAGCCCACCCCCCCCACTGAGAGAGGTGTTGTGGCTTAAAACGACTTCCCCCTCCCACTCCTTTTTCCAGTCCGTCTCATTAAAAACGTCGCTGTGCGTCTCTTGTAAAAGATCGACATGTTTTATTTTTGCAGTCTGAAATATTAAAGCCCTCTTTCTTTCCTCTCTGGCTCCATTTACATTTAAACTTCCCACTCTAAAAGTATCCATATTAAAAGCAAAAATAAAAACAAATAAATTAAACACACACATTGAGGTTTTTAAAATCACTTTTTGCTTCCTTACTTTATTCACAATTTGTTTTAGTCTATAAACTTCCAGCTCATCCAGGACAGACTGCTCTTTGCGGCTCATGTGGAGTCTTGCTGAGGCACAAAAAACTGCCAAATCTGGGAAATATTCTTCTATGATTACGTTATGTTGGTTTTTTGTCTGCACCAGGTCATTTTTTATCATTTCAGCCGAGTACATTTTTTTGTTGGCTACTGCTCAAAAAACCTGGCACATCGCTGCTGTCAGACACACAATCATCCCAACTCTCATGCGCCTGTTCTTGCTCTCTTTCTTCCTTTCCCTCACTCACTACTTTACTGCTTTTTGCAACGGTTGATTCATCCTTTTTATTTCTCCTGCGTTTAATAGCAGTCTTTTTTTTATTTATCATTTCTGTTGCGACCTCCTCTTCCTCCATCTCAGCAACCTCCACCTGCTCGCCCCATGTTTTCTTCTCCTCTCCTGTTTTGTCCAAATGTGTTTCCCTATCTATATCCTCCTCCTGTGTTTTACTGACTTCACCTGTCCCTACATTTTCTTTTACCAAATCACCAAATCACCAAATCACCAAATCACCTTGTGGTTCATTGATTATTTCAGGTTTTTTTTTCACCATTTGTCTTTGTTTTTTTATCTTTTTTTCTCCCATCCCCCTTTTCTTCTGCTTCACACAAAACCACCACCTAATTTTCCTGGACATAATCACCCACACCTGTGCAACACCACCGCACCGCAAGCCGGGCACAGCAGCAGAACCGCGCAGTGCAGCACAGTATCATATAAACTTGTCTGCGGTGAGACACTACATGTTTCGGTAACTGAGACTTACATCCAGACAGCATCTTTTTTACGGGAGAAACAAGTTTCCCGTGTCTGGACAGTTCTGAGGAACTCATCAGTTATGAAGGGAGGGACATTAGACAGTACAACTTTGGTTGCGGGAAGCATCAGCAGCTGTACTTGTACAAACATTTCTCTCACCGTGATGCCCGTCTCGATGACGAGGTTCACTTTCTCCACCTGATCCAGAAAGATCACCACCGCGCTGTTCATCCGCGCCAGGGACTTAATGCTGCTGTGCCCGACCTTCTCTCCCACAGCCAGCCCGATCTCCTCCACAGTGCATGGGAAGCCGGCTGAGATTTGAATGCGTGCTCCCCATTTACCATGGCGTCAGACGCCGGCCGGCGAGACACCGGCAGGAGAAGCCCACAAACACCACCAAAAAGCACGAAAAGTAAAGCAAATCAAACCACCACCGATAAACTAGCCTATATTTAATGAACACCCATTACACAAAAATAAACTGAAAATATAACGAAAAAGTCTCGCTCTTCTCTTTCTGTCGCACTCCAAAATCTCCCAGCATGCACCAGAAGAACAACAACAACAACAACAACAACCTTTATTGATCCCCAGAGGGGGAAATTCTGTTTCTACTCTGTTTTTTATACAAGCACATGGGCGTCCACCCCGAGAAGGGGGGGGGGGTTGCATTTTGAATTGAGCCGTCCCTTATCTACTATCTCTTTACGTTAGTAAAGCCGGCACTTCTTTAGAGAGCCGAGCCAAACGATCCGGCTCTCTAAAGATGTGCCGGCTGTTTCGGCTCCCAAACGGCTCTTCATGTTACCACAGTTTACCACGGAGCCTCAGTTTCGCCGCTGCGACGCTCCGGTGCTCGCAGTTCACGCGCGTGCTCCACTAGCACCCCCCCGCTCATCGCGTCCAAATCGCGCACGTTCCGTGTTGTCCTGTGGCAGGCTCCTTTTGGGATGTCCTTGTCCTTGTATCAGAAACAGTGCACAACGTGTTTTGGAAGTAATATGGTCTGTGTTTACATTAGCAAGCATCGCTAATGGCCCGTCCACACAGCGGCGTGCGTTGACGCGTCACCATTCACTTTGAATGGGGTGACGTCACTTTTCGCCGAACTGCATTGTGGGAAGCGACACGGACCGTTGCTGGCGTTGCTGGCTGCAAAAGTTGAACAATGCTCAACTTTTGAAGCCTCTGCAGAAGCGTCAGCCAATCGAATCATATGCCAGTACAAGCTCTAGCCAATCAAACTGCTGGATGTGTGTTAGGGGCGGGAGATTCATGTGATTGGTTGTTGGTCGAGTTTCAGACACGCCCGCCGGCAAGCTTCAACGCTTCAACGCACGCCGCTGTGTGGACGGGCCGTAAACCTCAGCTAACGTTGTACTGGAGAGTGTTGTGTTCAAAATTCCAGGAAAGACAGACGACTTCTAAGTTTAACTATTTATTATGAGAGAGCAATAGATATATATCACTTGGCCAAGGACTCCGTCACGTCATCAAAATCACAGACAGCAAAGCTGTAATCTGTCAGTCTTTTTCCGGACAAGAGCCTCGAACCTCGTGCGTGCATACATTTTTATGACACAGGGCGTTGCCCGTACATCTATGATTGGTCAAGACTAGCTGAAGAGATACCATGGTTTAGACTTGGTTCTCTTTTGTAGTTGCGCAGACTTAGAAAAAAGTATCTTGGCAACACGATCCTCCAATCAGCATTCGGCCGGCCTGTGGAAGTCCCTTCCTACTCTGGGGTCATCATACGTCATTAGTTTTTTCTGAAGCTTTCTGCAGATATAGTGGAATCTTCAAAATGCTGCTTCCTAGATGTGTGTGGGAGTGAAGCTCCCATACAACTCAAGGCCGGAGTGATGTCCTGTTTATGAATAACTCTTTGTATTCTTTCAGTGTCTGCACCTGACCTTGCTTCTCTGTATTGCAGGCTAAAGACGTCTATTTATTCCAAAGTCACAGCCACATAAATGAGCACAATAAGCTTATAATGTAATAATAAGAATCAGTCTTTCTAATGTTATATAAAAATAGCCTCCACCAGAGAGTATGTGTAAAAAAGCCGGATATAACAGGTACTCACCTTGTGGTAAACCTGCAAGAGAGAAAGCGTTTGAGCTCCATACTGTTTCAGAAATAATGCTTGATGTGGTTTGGACATTGAAAGTTATGGCCCTATAATATATTGTTCAAATATAGTATGTGGGACCTTTAATGCATTGTAACCCATTAATTAATCCACATTCTGTTATTGATGTGTGGTTCTCTTATGCAGGGAGCTGAAGCACCGGGCTGTCCAACATCCCAATGAACCCAAGTTCCAGATCCATGAGTACATTGAAGCTCAGAAGGAGAAGTCCGGCTGCTGCAGCTACATCTGAGTCTCTCTGCTTTTGAGTGGGAGGAAGCCCCATGAACTAACTGAAGCTCCTAGAATATTCTGCTGCCATCCTTTCACAAGATAAACCCAGCTACACTCACTTAGCCCATGGTTTGCTTTAGCCGAGAGCTTTTTACCCCAGGAACATGTTCAAACTTTGCCTGACTTAGCATACTCAGCCATAACCACACTCCAACTGAAAACCAATCCAATTTAAATGAATTTTCATATTTAACTAATTATATCATTAATGCTTTTTTGAACACAGTTTTTTTGTGCTTGCTTTACATAGAACTCAGAGAAACGTTTTTTTACCTAATTTAATGTATCATAAAAAGTGTGTTACAAGACACCACTCTGCCAAAGTGCAAGGAAGCTTCAGGCAGTTTCATAAACCCACACAATTCTGGCACAGGCCAGAGGAGCACACAGTCTTAGTGTGGATCAGCCTTGAAAAATGTACAATTGTACAACCTTGTGTATTATGCAATCTACAGACAGACACACAAAGGCCATAGATGCAGTTCAAAGACATCCCCCTTGGACAAAGCCCTGTCTGTTAATGACGCCGTGAGGAGAAACGCTCAGGGACCACGATGCAGGAAGCTAACATGCTCTGAGCCAGAAGAGTAAGAGCAGCAACTGCTTCTCAACATGCAGAGGAACCCAAATGTTCTGGTCTCCTGAAACATGTCACTCGCAGAAGATTGCTGCATAGGACCATAACTTGGATCTCCAGTTTTGTCTAATAAATGTACAGTACATCATATTGTGTTTATATAATGTGAGTGAGTGAGACAACAATGTTGTTTGCATGACTTACCTTCCTGTGTGTGTGTGTGTTTGTGTGTGTGTGTGTGTGTGCGTGCGTGTGTGTGTGTGTGTGTGTGTGTGTGTGTGTGTGTGTGTGTGTGTGTGGTGTGTGTGTGTGTGTGTGTGTGTGTGTGTGTGTGTGTGTGTGTGTGTTTGAGATATATATATATATATATAGATAGATAGATATACAGTAAATATAATTTGTGTATTTTGCTTTTATGGCTTGATGAAGGACTCTAAAGCTCAGCTGCTGGGTTGCATGTACCAAATGTGTGCGCAGTACCTCTAGGTGGCTATGGGATTAGTTTTGTATCATAAAGATAAAGCAACACTTTCTCAGAATAAAGCAAAACTATGAGTTTAAAAGAAAAAAAAACGGAGTCAAGCAAAATAAAATACATTTCAAAAATAAAACTATAAGTTGCAAACAAATCATTTGTGTAATCATGTAAACTATAAGTCTTTTTTCTTTGTTTTAACATAGGTTTTTGTTTGCAGTTCTTGTTTCTTCTTTCTCAAAGATCAGACTTTTGCTCTCGCTGCAGCTTTCTCTTTTGCGCTCCCTCATTTTTTGTTTGAGATTTTGACACAAACCTCCCAGGTGGGCGGGACTTTCAGGGGTTCGTCCCCATTGGCTACTCAGTTTTTGAGTGACAGCCCAGTCCTCCAGCGATTGTACAGTGCAGGCAGCTGCGGCGCGGTAGCTGCCTGCGCGTGGACAGAAGACCCCAGAAGAACCAGCATTTCAATTATTATAATACTACAAGTGAAAATATATGTAAGTATTGATCATTTGTGTTGTTTGTACTATACGGTCTGTTTCTTTATTGTGGTAAGTGAGAAGTAAAGCTGTGCTATGAAAGTTAGCTTGTGCTACCTTTAGATCCATAACAATGCAAGCTAAGTAGCCTAACAGTTAGCTACATAGCTAGCAGTGAGTGAGCGTTCAGACACCGGCGCACACACTCAAACGGACTCCTGTGCCTTACTCTACCAACAGGTTTTCATGATTCTGTTTAGATATGCAAGTATAAGCCATGATAGCTTATTTTATTAACACGCTAATTTGATATGAAAATCAATAGAGGCTGAGTTAACTTTGTAGGAAAACCTACCGTCCATGAGCTGTGTTTTATTTGTTAACTTCATATTTCTCATTTCCTAAAACATTTATTTCCCTCTCATATTAACAGTGTGGATCATTGAGACAGCGTGGCGTCCAGAGTCTTATCCCGTTTCCCACTTCCTCTGAGGGGACATCATCAGATCCTAGGAGGGGGGCATGAAGAAAGAACTGCACCAGCTTCATCCACGCTGGCGTTACTGTTATCACTGGCTCAGTGTCATTTCATTTGACCAAATGGCTTTACATATACATTTAATAGATTTTATTATTATCCACCTTTTGTTGGTTTTTGTTGGTTTGTTGTCCTTTTATTTAAAACATTCTTTGAGACTTCCTCTTCTGGTTCAAATTTCAATAAATGTAATTTGTATAATCACTCTTTTGTCTTTATTCTACATGGAAATGTTGGAGATTCCATTCAAATCTGTTGATTATTCATATCTTCCTCAGGCTAGGAATAGTATGTCGATTTTGTAATGCTAAATGTATATCATTTTCTCACAGGATATAGAATGAGACAACACGGTTTTATCCATTGTGTATGAATGCTTCAGCTCTTCAGACCAACATAGTAAGATGTGAGCATGTTCCTAATTGTGTTGGTATGCAGCCTAGGTCTGCTCTGTTTCATAAAGCAAATCTGCCACTTTTATATTGCAGAATTTGTTAAATTAAAGCAGTCTTTAATTGTTTGTCCTAAACATAGCAATATATGCTTTTGAAATGTAACATGTCTTGAAAAATAATAGTATACAGTTTATATTGTGTATCACCTTTAGCTTAAAAATACATAGATGTGTTTTTTTAATCTATAAAATAAATAGACAGACACTTTATCAATCCCAAATTGGGAAATTATTTAACAGCAGCAGTGTGTTCAGGTATTCAAATATTTAAAGTTGGAATATAGTACAAACTACTGTAGGAGCAGACACAATAGTGGTGGCTCAAATCCCACCTGTGCTCCGCACCGTCCGTTAGATGAGCCTGGTCGGATTGATAAAAGAGGGAGTTCAACACACCGGCATAAAGTTATAACAATAATCTGATTTTAATGGTAAAAAACACCAATACAAGTTTACAGAGTACTCCGGACTCCCAGTTCTACTGCTGTGCGATACAGGTATCGGGACCAGCCAGTCAGAAACAGGGGGCATTTTGCATGAAGAAACAACAGTATGGACATATTTGGAGGTGGAGATGTGTCGGCTCTTCCGTCCCATTTTACTCCTAAACGAATTAGAGTTCTGGGAAAAAGTATCTTTCTTCTGAACAGAGCGTGACAGCATCGGAACTATACAAGGTCAGAATCACTTTGTATCTTATACCTGGGTTAACTCCTTTAATTTCCCAGGGAAGATTTCACACAAACTATTCTTTTAAAACAATCAAACATTGTACACAGAAATATTGGTGTGTGTGTGTGTGTGTGTGTGTGTGTGTGTGTGTGTGTGTGTGTGTGTGTGTGTGTGTGTGTGTGTGTGTGTGTGTGTGTGTGTGTGTGTGTGTGTGTGTGTGTGTGTGTGTGTGTGTGTGTGTGTGCATGCTGATAAGCAGAGGCATATGTGTGTGTGTGTTGCTGATATCTGGGTGAAGGAGTTTATGTGTGTGTGCTGCATGAAGACAGGAGGAGGTGTATGTCAGGGTTTCCGCTAGGATTTTTTCTCGCCGGTCAAATGTCCGGGCAGAATTTATTTTACCGGACACATTTGAAAATTACCGGTCATATTTCAATAATAATAATAAGAGTTGTGTAGCAGAGTTTCCGTTAGCAGGTCATTACCGGACTATGAGCAGATATGCTTCAGTTTAAAACTCAGTTCACGGGGCTCATTTTTATATTGCTTCAGTTTATAATCGTAACAGATCGAAAAATTCAGATTCATTTTTCAATAAATTATTCCACAAACAACAAACAACATAATTATTACATTCAAACAAACTACTTGTAGTAGATAACGTACATTATTCAAAAGTTTACATTAACTTTGAATAATAACACGGGAGAAACGGATCATCTCTTTTCCCCTCTCCCTCCCTCTCTCTCCTGACAGCCCGTCAGTTTCTCATGCAGCTCCTGCAGCTCGCTAAACAGAGGGCGGGGCTTCAGGTGATTATGCAGAGCTGCGTGTCTCGGTCAGACTCAGCAGCTGATCTGATCTCTCTCGCGTGTCCGGTTATACTTCACTCGCGTTTATGTCCATATCGATCAGATCCAGCTCTCCTGATCGGCCTTTATAGAGAGCACCGATCAAACTATTAAGAGTGAATATCGGCCGATAATGACCGGCGGCCGATCTATCGGAGCCTCCCTAATTATTACCAGACATTTTGACCGGCAGGTTTTGAATTTACCGGTTTTTAATACATTTTACCAGCTAAAAACCGGTAATTACCGGCTAACGGAAACCCTGGTGTATGTGTGTGTGTCAGGATCTCTGGGTCATGGAGTGTAAGTAAGAAGGTTTAGATATATAGGATTACTTTAAACAGTCCCAAATAATACATGTTCACTTCAATACAGTTCAAGATAATACCTGTTTACTTTAATACAGTTTAGAACAATATCCGGGTGCTTTACTACACATCACAAGTATAATGCACAGCAATCCATAAGATAAGTCCGATATGTTCATGAAACTCCTCAGGAGACACCGACACTAACGTGGGCCGAGTGGACTCCGGAGTTTGCTGCATGAGTTGCACTGTATGATCTGTGGTGTAGTGGGCTGTCACTCAAAAACTGAGTAGCCAATGGGGACGCACCCCTGAAAGTCCCGCCCACCTGGGATGTTTGTGTCAAAATCTCAAACAAAAATGAGGGAGCGCAAAAGAGAAAGCTGCAGCGAGAACAAAAGTCTGATCTTTGAGAAAGAAGAAACAAGAACTGCAAACAAAAACCTATGTTAAAACAAAGAAAAAAGACTTATAGTTTACATGATTACACAAATGATTTGTTTGCAACTTATAGTTTTATTTTTGAAATTTATTTTATTTTGCTTGACTTCGTTTTTTTTCTTTTAAACTCATAGTTTTGCTTTATTCTGATAAAGTGTTGCTTTATCTTTATGATACAAAACTAATCCCATAGCTGCGCAGTACGTCGACCGCGGTCGCAAAGCTGGTAGATCACGAGTCATTCATAAAAAAAAAAAATCCAGCTCCGTTAAAATAGACAAAACAGGTTTTGATCCCTCCTCCCTTGGTCTCCCTGCCACCTAATTCAGGAGTTTACTTGATTGACAGAAAAAGCGACCTATCGCTTTCCAGTCTGTTAACCCAGAATGCAAAGCGATACAAAATCAGTCAAGTGCCGGGAAAACTCAAATTAAGTTCAAGAGACAAACAAGAGACAAACAACAAAATGAGTGCAGGACCGAGCAAGAAGCTAAAGACAAACCACTTCCACCCAGAATGGGAGGAAGAGTATTTGTTTGTGATGTCACATTCAAAGGTTATTTGCCTTATTTGTAAAGCAAGCGTCGCTCTGCCAAAGAAAGGTAACGTGGAGAGGCATTATCGGAGTGTTCACAAGGCATATGACAGCGACTTCCCTCCGAGTAGCGAGTTGAGAAAGAGAAAGGTCATGTATTATTGCTACACAAATATTATCTCGCAGTCTTAGTGTCGCCAACTCGTTTCTAACATGCAAAAAGACAAACAAATGCGTCTATGGTCGGTGTATTTTCGACCTTTCCAATCGAGACGAGATCTCTCTCTCCCCCGTCTGTGCGCGAGGGGGCGGGGCAGTTTACACACACGCGGCTGCTACAAGCAGCAACACACGGAGGAGATGGCGGAGAGAAACCTCCAAGGTGTGGTTAAATGTTACCCGTCTTGAGGTGGACAATGCTCGTTGCCAAGAGTGTTTAGTATGGAAGCAAACAAGAGACAGAAGTATTTGAATTGTATTAGACACCGAATTTATAGCATTGAAAATAATTACAAACACACCTCTATCTTAAATAACACACTTGCTCTGCAATAATATGTTTCTTGATATTTCTGTTAGGAAAGGACACGCCTGAGAGACAGGACTGCTTCACCATGTTCTCTTTCTCTGAGGGTCCAGAAGAACATCCAAGAGGGAAAGGAGAAGCTGATGTTATGAGATTTAAGAGCAGTACAGGACATTCACTAAGAGACACTTATATTGTAACACAAAGACCTGCACACTGACTAGTTTTGTAGTCTAACAGGAACTTCATTTGTGTGTTGTTTTGTGTTTTACGTTGCACCTCAGAGACCGTGTGATTAGTGTCAGGCCTATAAAGTTTGGCAAAAAAAA